AACATATGTACTAAAGTGCTGGACACAGATGATGTATGTACAGATTGTGATGAGTTGTATGAGCCCCTAATGAAATGATTATTTAAAAATATATATTTGCACCTTTTTACGAAGATGGCACTGAAGGTGAAGAAGGAAAACTCCTGCCCCTCCCAAAATGGAAGCCAAAGCAAAGGCTTTAAAAGCCAAGAAGGCTGTACTGAAAGGTGTCCACAGCCACACAAAAAAGATCTGCAAGTCACCCACCTTCCAGTGGTCCAAGACCCTGAGACTAACACAGCAGCCCAAATACCCTCGGAGGAGCGCCCCCAGGAGAAATAAGCTGGGCCATTATGCCATCATTAAGTTTCCCTTGACCACAGAGTCTGCCACGAAGAAGATAAAAGATAACAACACACTTGTGGATGTCAAAGCCAACCAACACCAGATCAAACAGGCTGTGAAGAAACTGTGACATTGATGTAGCCAAGGTCAACACCTTGATCAGGTCTGATGGTGAGAAGAAGGCATATGTTCGACTGGCTCCTGACTATGACACTTTAGAGGTTGCCAACCAAATTGGAATCATCTAAACTGAGCCCAGCTGGTTAATGCTAAATATAAACTTTTTCAATATATATATATTTACATATTTCTATACCTGTATTTGGGCCTCTATAAATGTCCTTTGCCTCCTACTTTTTTCCTCTTATTTCCTTTTACTATCCTCTTGTCTCACTATCATTTTCGGCCTTCATTCGGGTTTCAGTAATTCCTCTCAGCTACATTGCCCCCAATCAAGCCCCACCAGGCATCTTATATCTTCCTCACCATCGATTTTTAGATCAACGTTCCCTTGTCCCTGGGTTTGTTGACACCATTCCCCCCCCCCCCACCGCCTTCCCCTCTCCCGTGTCCCTCGGGAACCCTTGGTCCTGTTCTCTCTTCTGATTGTTTATCCCACCTATCTTATCTTGATAGACATGCAGAGACATTAATAAGCACAAAAACAAGACAGAGCAAAACAAACCAACAAAGAAAAAAAATCTAAAACAACAACAACAAAAAACAAGGACAAAAAAAGAAAAGCCTATAAATAGTTCCAGGTCTGTTTGTTGACTTTTGAGTCTGATGGAGTGCCATTCCCTGGCCCTAAAGTCAATTTTTTATATTCCCCAGGGACTTCATTGCTTTGCTCCCCTTGATGCTCTGCTACATTCCTTAGTGTTTCACCCCGGTGTGGTGGGGTCAGATGGGGCACAATTCCCACACTATGCCTCCAGTGTTATCCCCTGTAGCGCTATGGGTCAGTGAGGGATTTCGTGTTTTGTGGTCTTCTCTGTGCATTGGCTACTCTAAGCAGGAATATTGTCCTTAGGACTTGGTCGGCCAAGATGTGTTCCACTTTCTCTCCTTCCTTCCCTCTTCGTTTGCTCCTGTGTGCTCTGATCAGAAGCACCCCTTTTCCTGAACTGTAGCTTCAGGACTGTCCTCGGAAGTGAATTCTTTTGAGGGGGTGGGGGTGCCCACAAAGTTGGGATTGGGGCTGGCCCTGCTTCATGCCGTTAATGTTGCATTCACGTCTTGGCACATGGGGTTGAAGTCTGGTCCCTCTCCCTCTCCTGTGGAGATACAAGGAACATCCTGCCCTTGGGTTGGTGCGTGTCCTGTTCCCCTGTTCCCCATGTCTTTTTTTTTTTTCCTTTCTCCTTCCTTTTTAGTTGGCTGTCATATGTATCAATGGACTTGGGTCTGGCTCCTGCCATAGTAGCTGGATCTCACCCCAGGAATGTAACTACATTTGATTTTTCAAAAATGCACCAGAAGTTAACTTGATAATGCAAATTGTCAGATTTTCAAATGAGTGGGAATAATCAGCTCCATTGTATCTAAACCTTAAAAAAAGAAAGACCTATGCCCCTTTGGTAGGCATTTGTGGGAAATAATGTTTTTCCTTTGCTAACGTATTCTTCATAATAGACTCTGTAATTTTGTTTAAAAACAATGATTGGTTGTGATTTTTTTTCTTCTGAGAAATTAGAGTTACTATTTGAAAGTTGTTTAGTACTACTAATATTCCTCACAGCAGGATTTATTAAAAGGGTTTGAAGCCATAATATAATAAAATTGTTTATTTTCTATGAATTAAACACTATATTTCAGACCCAGATGTATTTAAAAATAATGTATGTGAGTAAAAGTAATCTCATTAGTGACACCTAGAAAACATGTGAGTTACACATACTATCAAGAATTTGGAAAATTGTTTGTATTATAAATACTGATTTCATAGAACTCTGTCTTTTTCCAGATGATGGTCCCACTGAAAATAACTCTGTTACTCGAACGGCCATGACACTACCAAGTGAATCAAGAGTCAATATACATGCCATAACTACATTAAAAATATTAGACTATAGGTAGGTATGTTACCATGATTTCAAAACTGTTCGAAGTGTGTGAGATTTTCTATTAGTAATCTTTTAGGAAAAAAGACAGTTGGTGAAGAATAATTCATTAGAGTACAGTGGTACTTGACATAAAATACCAATTACAAATACAATGATGAGATCCAAACTTACTAAAAGTACTGTGAGTTTCACTGCCCATTCTTTAGATGATTTCTGTTTATTATACTTAATAGACTGTCAAGTGTCTATTAGTTACAGTAATGTAAAAACATTTATTATAAAAATAAAATAGTGACAATATTGGTAATAAGATTCTGTGACTTAATCAGCTTTCAGAGAGAAGTTTATATTGAGGTTCCATGTTAGTAAATAAATTAGTATAGTTAGCTAATGTAAACTTTGAATTTTTAATCTGAATACTATATCAAATAATACCAATGGCACATATATTAAAATTGAATAATTACTACATTAATATATAAATCAAGACAAAAGCATACAATTTTAAAATATCATGGGAGTGTATTGGAATGGGTAGAGAAGACACCTTTGTAAAGATTGCAGGTCATTGTTAAGTGCTCTTCAGTACTCCTTTAAATAATAATAAAAAGTAACAGATACAGTCCAGGCTCTTGCAGTGGTATTTTCATGTATTATAGCAAAAGTACAAAAGAATGCAAGCCCAAGTGACAAGATTTATTCCAGAATCTACATGAGTAGGATTAATGTCTGAACACATATCCTTGATGTATCAGTGGGAACCACCTTCTCAGCAATCTGAATACAGTTTCTGTTTCACGTAGTTTTCACTTCTTGTTTGATGCCCTTTTATCTATGTAGGCATCGCTACTCTAAGTGAGCTTACTCTTGTCATCCACCTGTAATACCAAGTAGTGTCCCTCTGTATTCATATTTTTGTTCTCTTTTCTGTTAGCATAGCATGGCCACATACCTGTCACAAAATATAGCCATCTGTACATGTTTTTCGAGCCTAGTAAACCTCAAGTTTTAAGCAAGGCTTCATAAGCACAGGAATTGATGAGTTCCACTTTATCCCTTCCTCTATAGAATTTAGAACTATTTTCATCCCTGGATACTACTATTTTTCCTTGAATGGTAGCCATTTATTTATACTACCTGTTTTTGATCTGGGTACTGAATCTGTTGTTGCTTTTACTACTCAAAACAATCTATGAACTAATATTAATAGAATTTATTTGAGATAACCATTCATACTTTTAAATACAGCTATCATAAAACATAATAAGGTTAATTCTTAAGCCATACATTTTCAGTTGTTCTAATTTTAAATTTATTATAATTTATTTTTCTCAGAGACTTAAATTGGAAAGGCGTATCCTATTTAAAATACAAATTAATTCCCAATCTCAACACCTTCAACTAAAACTTAAAATTAGCATGAATGTTCCATGTTTGATTACCATAAATCACTTTTTTTGAGACTAGATAATTGCTGATTGAAAAGATAAAAATGCTACATTTGAACTGCAGGAAATGAAGCCCTAAAGCAGAATTTGAAGGTATAACTCTGAAATTCTGGCAAAACAATCCATTTACCTATCTGTATTATTTTGCCTTTCTTACATAATTCTCTCAATATATAACTGAAATAGACTAAGGCTAAGTAAAATTGTCACAAAAGTCCATTGTTCCAGAAGGCCTCCTCCCCCCTTCTTCTGACCAAGGTAATGTGTGTTTTATCATCACAATGAAATGCAGAACCTGTAAGTGCCCTATGACAATTCTTGCTTAAACTGCCCCTCTCTCCTTATCAAAAAGAGTCAGCAATTTACGTCAGTCAACACTGCTTACTTAGTGATATATAAATTTTAACTTCTTTTATGCTTTCTGTAACCTGCTTGCTCCTTAAATGATATAAAAGGACTCCCCCAATGAAACAGCCCCACTGCAGTATGGGGACCTTTCCTTTTAAATGTCCCCTCTGCAGTCTGGGCTGCTCTGATAGAATAAAGATTTCACATAATTTGAATTGGACATTGTAGTGGTCTTCATTTACTTGAACCTGCAATATAACATATAATATTGTTTTTGTTATTTGCCATTTAACCAATGTTTCTCTTAAGTGGTAGGTAACAGTGTACTGAGTAGGAGTATCGAAAACTTGGAAACTTAAAAACAAAAGAATATAAGGATTATTAGAATATTAAGAAAGTATAAGTGTCTAAGTCCTGTTTTTATGTTTATATAAGGTTAAATTTATATTTTATTGAAAATTTTAACAAAAAGAAATATTTATATGTATATGTGCAACAGATGTGTGAATTCAGGTTCTAGTTTTACAGAATTATGAATCAAGACAGATAAATGAGAAAGCTCAATAATTGTAGAACTAGGAATAGTTTAGTCTCTGTTTATTACTGTGTTCATTATGTTACATATTAAATATGGGAGTAGTGGTTTAGGTTACAAATGTTAGTTTAGTTTGGCATAATGTAGAACTTTCAAAATTTGTTGCTATCTTTCAGTAAATAACGTACTGCACCCACCCTTCCAAATAGCTGACTGATATAGCCCCTTGTAAAAGCTTTTACAAGAAAAAGGACAGCAACTAGCTTTTAAAATTATAGATTTGTTCTACTGAGAGAAAAGAAAGGGTTGTCCATTTACTATATTATGCCTAGACATTTTTTAATGCCACAAAAAGAGTTGTGCAATATGTATTATGAGATAATGTTGTTTTAATTTCTAATGATGTGCATTTTGTAGTTTGACAGGTCTGTGTGATAGTCTGCAAAACTTAATAATTCAACTGCTTTGAAAAGTTTTGTTAATAAGATCTTTAAAAGCCTTCACAAACTAAATAATAAGCTTACTGCTGAAAATTGTGCCTTTTTAACCATTTTCATTTAGTGATAAACAAGCAACTTTGATTCCTGATGAAGTGTTTGATGCAGTAAAAAGCAACATTATCACTTCTGTTAACTTCAGTAAGAATCAGCTATGTGAAATTCCAAAAAGGTAGGAACTGTTGATGGTGCCATTTCTATTAAGTTGTGACTCATTTTGTTTTATTCATCTTATTTACAAGAATAATTATTTTCCATGGTCTTAACATTATAAATATGCACAAAATTTCTTGCATTATGAATATTAAGGGAATTTGGAAAATGTCATTAAGTATTTCCTGATATAATTTTAAGGAGCTCTGGTGGCTCTATCAGGTAAGTGATTGACCTGCTAACCACAAGGTTGAGGGTTCAAACCTACCAGCACTTCTCTGATTCAGATTTACAAAGCCTTTGAAACACTATATAGGGTTGTTTTGAATCAGAATTGACTCAATGGCATTGCTTTTGGTTTACATTACCAAACATACTGTTCTTTGCTGGGGACTAGTCCCTCCTATTAACATGCTCAAGATACATGAGATGAAGTCTCGTTGTCCTTATTTCTAAGGTGGATTCTGGTTATACTTCTTTCAAGACAGATGTGTTTATTCTCCTGGCCAGCGCATGGTGTGTTCAGTATTCTTTGTCAACATGATAAGTCGGAGGCAATTATTCTTAGTCTTTATTTACTTTCCCTTTATCACATGTTCATGAGGCAAATGAAAATATCAATATCATGGCTAGGTCAGGGGTACTATAGTCCTCAGATCTTTTGCTCTTTAACACTTTAAACAGGTTTTTTGTAGATTTATCCAAAGCAACATGTAGTATTTTTTGACTGTTTTCATGAGTGCTGACTGTGGAACCAAGTAAAATGAAATTCTTGACGGCTTAAATCCTTTCTCTATTTATCATTATGCTTATTGTTCCAGTTGTGAAGATTTTTGTTCTCTGTATGTTGAGATGTTATCCATTGCTGAATTCTTTATTCTGTGATCTGCATCAATAAATACTTCAAATCCTCTTAATGTTCAGCAAATAAGGTTGTATTTTCTGTATATTGCAGGTTGTGCGTGACTCTTAATAAGAATTAATGACATAATTGACATAAAACATTTAACCAGTGCATGTGCTTTCAGAAGAAAGACTTGCAATCTACTTGCCCCCAAATCCTATGTGGGACAGTTCTACTGATAAACATGGGGCTGAGTCTTCCCCAAGCCAACCATTTTAGTGCTTTGTAAACACTTAAATACATACCAATGAAAAAGTAGAGAAAAAAATTGAGGAAGCATAGGATGTAATGGATAAATATAATGGATTTGATTTATCAACAAAAATTTTTAGGTTTCTAAAATCTGAAATAAGAAAAAAATCTGTAATAAGTTGGACAAATTATATTTTACTTTCTGTTCTACACACCATAGTTTAAGGAATGGAGATATTGAAAAATGATAAGTTTAAAAAATTCCATTACAGAAGGAGATCTAGTCCATCACATAGTTCTCTGGCTTGGAGGATATTTGATAGAATACTTGACTATTTATTTGCTTTTAGCTAAAATAAATGATCAGGATTGTGTATCATACTAGATATCCAGGATCATCTGTCTAAGTGCCTAAACATTTTGATCACTAACCACTTGTCTGTCAGTGTATCATAATGTGTTGGCTTATGTGTTGCTGTGTGTCTGGAAGCTATGTCACTGCTATTTCATATACATCAGGGTCACTCAAAGTGTATATGTTTCAACAGAGCTTCCAGACTAAGAACTGTCAAGGCAAACAGCGAAACATTGTCAGTTACTAAAAACCTCTTGAGCAGCAGCAGAACAATGTCAGAAATAGTGCCAGAAAATAAACCCCTCAGGACAAAAGGTACTCAAATGTGACTGAGGAAGAGCTGCCTTCTCAAAGCAGAGTTGGCTAATGATATGGATGCAGTAAAGCCCTGGGAACCTTTATCTAGATGCTGCTAGGGCACAACTCAAAACAAATAGAAACTGCTTCAAACATAGATTACTAATTGGAAATTGTGATATACAGAGTATGAATCTAGGAAAATTGGAAGGTCAGAAATGAAAACAAAAATTCAGAAATGAAAAGGAAGCATAAAGATTAATATCCTAGGTGTTAGCTGAAATGGACTGGTATTGGCCATTTTAAATTAAAAAATCACATGATTTACTCTCCCAGGAATGCAAAATTCAAGAGGAATGTTGTTGCGTTCATCTTTTAAAAGAACATTTCAAGAACATTTACATCTTGAAGTAAAATGTTATCTCTGATAGGACAGTATCTTTATGAACACAGAGAAACCCAGTCAATATAACTACTATTTAAATTTGTGCACCAACCACAAAAGCTAGTGAAGATGCTGAAGTTTTGGACCATCTTCTGTCTGCAATTAACCAAATATGCAATCAAGGTGCAGTGATGATTTTTAGCAATTGGAGTGCAAAAGTTGCAAACAAAGAGTAAAGAACAATAGTTGGCAAATATAACATTGGAGATAGAAATGGAGCCAGAGATCGCATGATAGAATTTGGAAGAACAACAGCTTCATAGCAAATACCATTTGTCTTGACTTAATGTTTTATAATTTACCTATTTTCTACTTTATCTCTCTGGATTCTAATATCCATTGCAATGGCAACACAGAAACTCAGACAAAATCATGACTAAAGGGTTTATTAAGGAGTGAACAAGTTGTAATACAGTGAGAAATGCTTTGGGTAGTAGTTTACCAGGACGTGTTAAAAGTTTCAGGTCACTAATAAATGCGCAAAGGGGTATACTACTGCTGTAAGCCTCAACCCTAAGGCATTCAGCTCAATCTTTGTCAGTCAGCAGATCGGGCTCCCTGAATTAAGTGCCCAGAGGCACCCCACTCCAGTAAACCTCAGTCCAAAGGCACTCAGCTTCAATTCTGTGGGTCAGTAAGTCCAACTCCACCCCAATTAAGGAACCAGGCACCCCACTCTGCAAGCTAGCCAGCCTCCTGCAGGAAAACACTCAACTTGCTTTGTGGCTTGGGAAGTCCATCAATTATTCTGTCAATGCTGTGCCTTCTGGTGCTACTACTGCTCTTGTGGTGGTCTCTAGATCCAAGAGGCACATTGTGCAGGGAATCTCTGGTTCAGAGGATGCCCTCCATTCTTGACTCTTGCTGGAAATGAGATCCCTCCTCCTGCTTTTCAGAGCTCAGTGTATACACAGCAGGCTGGCACTCCAGGGAATCCTATCCGCAGTTACTTAGAGGTGTTCTCCTATAAGCATCTTCTCCCACGCATGCAGACGCATGCAGGGAAAGGTCATTTGGTAGGATTTATATATATGGGCTAGAAGAGCCACATTAAATAATTCACTACCCCTGTGCCATTTTTCAGTAACACTAAAAGTGACTATATACTTGGATTTCTCCTAATCTAATACATAGAAATAAAGTTAACTACATTTGTAGGAACAGATGATGGATAAACTCAGTATCAGCAGCAAGAACTAACTAGGCCTGGGGCCAAGAGTGGAACAGCCATTAATTGCTCATGTATAACTTCATGTTTACTTTTTTAATGTTTGGTCCATAGAATCTTTCAATATTATAAAATATTTAATGATGTAGGAAACGTCAGAACAAGATGGAAAGACTACACAGAGTCTCTTCCAAAAAGAACTGGCCTACACTTTACCTTTTCATTAGGTTGCATATGAACTAGAACCAATGGTAATGAAGGAAGAAGTTCAAGCTGCACTGAAAGCATTAGCCAAAAACAAGTCTCCAGGAATTGATTGAATACCAAATGAAATGTTTCGACAAGTTGATGAAGCGCTAAAGTAAGTATTCATCTATGCCAAGAAATTTGGAAGATGGCTACAAAAAAAGGTGACTCAACAGAATGCTTAAATTTTAGAACAATATTATTAGTACACATAACTGAAGAAAAATAGATGCATTGAATTTTGGTGCTGGCCAAGAATATTGAAAGTACCATTGACTGTCAAAAAAACAAACAAATTTATCTTGGGAGTACAGCCAGAATGCTCCATAGAGAGAAGGATGTAGAGAATTTGTCTCATGAACATTGGACATGTTATCAGGAGAGACCAGCCCCAGCCCCTGGAGAAGGACATCATGCTCAGTAAAGCAGAGGGACAGTGAAAAAGAGGAGAATTCTTGATAAGGTGTATTGACATTGTAACTGCAACAATGGGCTCAAAACATGAGAACAATTGTGAGAATGGCAAACAACTTGGCAATATTTCTTTTGGACATGATGCCCTTATGAGTCAGAACAGACTTGATGGCACCTAACAGCAATAACAAACACATCTTAAAAGTATTTTGGACAACTAACCTCAAGATCAGTAGTTCAAACTCACTAGCCACTCCTCAGGAGATCGATGAGACTCTCTGTTCCCATACAGATTTATACCTTCAGAAACCTTACATAGGGTCACTATGTAATTTAAATTTAAATTTTTTAAATTAGGTGGGAGACATGAATATTGCATAGTCTAAGTCAGGGGTCCTCAAACTTTTTAAACGGGGCCAGTTCACTGTCCCTCAGACCCATTGGAGGGCCGGACTATAGTTTAAAAAAAAACAACCTATGAACAAATTCTTATGCACATTGCACATATCTTATTTTGAACCAAAAAACCAAACGGAGCAAAAACACCGGCAGGCCAGATAAATGTCCTTGGCGGGCTGCATGTGGCCCGCGGGCCGTAGTTTGAGGACGCCTTGTCTAAGTAAAGATCTATTATAAAATAGGTCTATAGGCTTTGCTTTTATGTCATGAACAGAATTAAGTATAAACTGCTAAGATAATTTTTTAATCTTTTTGCCATAAGTGATTTACATGCAAAATAAATGAGTTTGTTTTTAAATCGAGCTTCATCATATATTTAAGTTCAAAAGAAACTTTTGGCTTTTTTTTTTTTCTGAAGAACCTTATTTACCTCTCGTGTATTATGTTTTTAGATTTGAATACTTCACAGTAAATTTAAGTTGCTAACAACTGAAAAATTTTGTTTATTTCAGGATTATGGAAATGAAGGAAATGATTTCTGATGTTAACCTCAGTTTTAATAAACTTTCCTTAATATCCTTGGAATTATGTATGCTTCAAAAGTTGACATTTTTAGATCTCAGGTATTTATTGATGCTATCACTTGACTTCTTTCATTATAACTTGTTTTTGAGTTCACCTAACTTTCTATTCCCTTCTTGTTTTCCTAAGTACAGAAACTAGTCTTTAATTTACAAAGGCAGCACTAAGTATTTAGGAAATACCGTATCAGACATCTACTTTGCGTAAGCAGTTTATAAATTACGTTATAGGACGTAAAATTGTCTAAAATATTAGCATTAGCACACTTACACTTAAGCAAAACTGAAAATAAAGATTTCATAAACATTGAGAGTAAATTATATGTAGTTCACATTTTGAATGTGAACATCGCAAAGGGCCACAGTGGTTGTATAGCTGTTACACAGAAATAAGAGGAAGTATTGTTATATTATTCTTTTGTTTTGTGCGATTTGAGTGATTAATGTTTCCTTAAAGAGTATTTTTGTTTCCTGTTCTTTTTTCCCTGTAGATAATAGAATAAAACTTTTCTTTTTTAAAGAAGGAAAAAGAAGAACAACACTATGGAGATAAACAGAAAGAAAAGAATTACGTTTTAGGCTCTGCAGACATAATAGGAAGTTTAACTGTAAAAATGGCAAATTGGAAGTGATTGTATCAGACATTTCATAATTCAGGGACAAGAGTATTTGTCTTTGGATTAGGGTCATTTATTTTTCTGGGCTTTAACATTTTATTTTTAAATGATATCTCTCTGGGTTCCTAGTAAGTACATATGATTACAGGTGTCTTTTAGTTTATTTAAAATATAACTCCTCTTGCTTCTGTTTAAGTAATAGCCAAAGGACATTGTTTGTCATTAGAGATGTATTTTTTTAAATGTATGGAATTAAATCTAGCAGTCTGGTCTTACTGATATGGGATTGCTTCTGCAATTAAGTGATCGTAATCTGCTTTTCATGTCTGTTATTGGTTAAGACTGGAGCCAGCAGTAGGTGATTCCGCACAATTTAAGGATAATCACTGGAGCAAAGCCTAAGGAAAAGGAACAGAATATAAATTGAACTGAAGAAACTGTGACTCTTACATATTAGTCATGATCTTTGAAAACCAAAGCAAGAGGTTAAAGAAAATCATTCAGTTGTGGAGACTTTTCATTTATAAGTAACCACTGTTTGGGCAGTTTTCCACTAATGCATTCTATTATTAGACAGGTGTAGTGCCGATCGAACTGTTTGCCATATTGCTAGCAGTGTCCTCCTCACACTGCTCCCAGTCCTTATTCCCTGGAAATGAGCGTGTGCTCACATCTGTATTTCATTATGAAAGAAAAAAAGAGTTACATTCACCGAATTCATAAATTTATAGTAGAAACGAGCTTGCTTAATACTTTTGAAGTAGAAAGCTCCAAGTTGCTAAACATATGTAGTCTCTTTACGTTTGTTTCATTGGTTTTTCTATAATTTTAAAGAGAAGTATTGCTAAGCCAACTGGAGGGGCACGAAGGATTTGTTTACAACATTTACCTTGTTAAAGAGTGGTTGTATTACCAGTTGGTAACATATTGATACGATTAAGGACTTGGCACACTAATCAAATACTTGAGGCACCTGATTTATTCAAAATTCTCAGTACTCAGCCTTAATGAGATCAAATCAAGGCCTGATGAACTGATCTAAATATATTTTTTTACTGTATAGCATTTTACTAATGAATTGATTATAAAAATATTCACACTTTCTAAATTCGTTTTTTGTTTGTTTGTTTTTTCAATTTAGAAACAATCTTTTAAATTCCTTGCCAGAAGAAATGGAATCACTCGTAAGATTACAAGTGATCAATCTTTCCTTTAACAGGTAAGAGATAGCATAGAAAATTCTCAGACTTACATTCTTGAAAATCTGTGAATCCATACTAGTGAAAAAGAATGAAAAGAGCCAAATGAAAAACCAAACCAAACCAAAACACACTTGCACCAAGTGGATTTTGACTCATAGTAACCCTGTTGGGTTTCTGAAGTTGTAAGCTCTGGTGGTACAGTGATTAAACACTTAACTTCTAGCTGAAAGGGCACCAGTTTGAATCTACCAGCCATTTCAGGGGAAAAGATATGGTTTTCTGCTTCCATAAAGAGTACAGTCTTCGAAATCATAAATTCTGTTCTGTCCTATAGGGCGGCCGAGAGTCGGTATCAATTTGAAAACAATAAGATTTAATATTTATGGTAGCTCATGGCCTCATCTTTCTCCTGTGGAGCCAATGGTGGTTTTAAACCACTTACCTTTTGGGTAGCAGACAAATGCTTAACTACTATGCCACTAGGGCTCTGTAGAGAAACAATAAGATCCCATGTTTTAACTTTATTTAACTATTCAGGCTCTAATTTCACATAGTTTTGCATAAAATAGAAAGTGATGTTGCTTATGTATAATTTCCCCAATGGATGTCCATTATTGTTGTTGCTCTTTCTCCTTTTTTGAAAAGCCTGTAGACATCGAAGGGTAGGGGTAACGGGTTTTATCTGATGTACTTTGAGTAGCAAGGTTAGACTCCGAGTTTTACATGATTTAATTTGGTTTACAAACAATCATGTGTTTCTTAATACTAAGTCTTTAGGAATTACTGGTTGGATGAATGACAGAAGTAAAGGAGAAGAGGGAATTATGACAAATTCTGGGTTTTAGACTTGAATAAACAGATGACATTGCTAGTCATTCATATGAGTGCATTCCCAGTACTTTCTGTCATCCTTGATCACTTACCTTTATGCAACAGTTTTTCAGTCTTGTCAATTTACTGGTGTATTACTTTTTCCTGTCTCACTTCCTTACTGTCTCTACTGATTTCTTGTCTAGCTTAGAGTTCAAGGTACATCATCCAATTAATCCTGTACCTTTAGCTTTTTGTTCCTTTGTTCGTCTGCCATACTCTGCAGACTAAAACCCCAGTCATTGTTGAGCTAGTGTTTCCAGAGTTGAACCTAAGTTGCTTAACCATGTCGAAGATAATTACACAACTGTTACTCTTTTCCTTTCACTGTGGTGCCCACAAAACTCACCTGTTACTCATCTTTGCCTTTACTTTTCATAGTAAATGTGCCCTTCCATTCTCCAGTACTGCGATTTGATATCTTCTCTCTTCCACTGCCATCTGGCCCTCACTCCTCAGTTGATTATCCTGCTTTCTGTTTCACTGAAGCCTTGGAACTCTTCAAAGTAGAACTTCCTTTTATTCCCACTGCCAAAACTGATAACCTTTTATCATTGTTCATGCTTGTTTCAAAATGTAACCCCTTCATTTGTTTTCTGGATAGTGGCCCCTCTTGTCATTCTTTCCCATCTTGTCATCATTTATAAATCATTTCTTCTACTAAATTTATCCTTTCCTCAAAATGCCTTAAGATTCCATTGCAGGGTGTTGACACTATATCTCCTCTTTCAGTTATATTTCTCAGCTTATCTTCACAAAAAAACGTTTAATTGGTTCTTTATAGTCATTGCCATCATGTCTATAATTGCCAATAAACTCTTTATATAATCTGGCTTGAAACTTTTAATTACTAAATCTATTCTCTTCATATCTGTTCTCGTTTTATTAGCATTTTCAACATTATAGTTGGCCACACCTTACTTGACAAAACGGTTTCATTTTTTGGTTTCTTTGACACCAGTAATTCTTTTTTTTAAATCATTATATTGGGGGCTCGTACAATTCTTATCACAATCCACACATCCATCCATTGTGTCAAGCACGTTTGTACATTGTTTGCCCTCATCATTCTCAAAATGTTTCTTTCTCCTGGAGCCCTTTTCAGAGTTGTTCTTCCTCATTAGTATAAACTCACTGCCCCTTGAGTTTCCTGTCTCATCTTTTGAGTTGTTTTTATCGATTTAATCCCATGTAGAGTCAAAGAGCATAATACACATGGCAGGCATTTTGTTGTTGTTTTCCCGGCTAACATGCTTAACAGTCTTCTAAGTATTGGAGTTCTCAGGGTTCTATTGGACCCTCCATCTGACCTTCTAAACTCTCCTGCATCACTGAACACCATTACCCTTCTCTCTCAGTGTTCCAGTCAGACTGGCCAGCTGGCCATTCCCAAATCAGAAAGGTCTTTCCTTTTTAGGGCTTTTCGTACATGTGCCAGAAGTATATTAACAGGTCCTCCACTCAAATGGCTACTGCCTTTTTTCTTAAAAGTATTAATTAATTCAGTGTCTGCCTGTCTGGCCACCCCGTCTCTCCGCCATCATTCCCATGTTCGTGGTGAACACCAACGTGCCCCGCGCCTCTGTGCCCGACGGGCTGCTCTTGGAGCTCACCCAGCAACTGGCGCAGGCCACCGGCAAGCCGGCCCAGTACATCTCTGTGCACGTGGTCCCCGACCAGCTCATGGTGTTCGGTGGCTCTGAGCCGTGTGTCCTCTGCAGCCTGCACAGCATCGGCAAGATCAGCGAGGCGCAGAACCCTCTCTCTCTCTCTCTCTCTCTCTTTCTCTTGTGTTCCGTTTACTGTAACACCTCAAACTGCTTCTATCCTTTATAAAACTCACTCGGATCACAAAACAAACAAACAAACAAACTTTTCAGACCATTATTTTGGAAGAAGCTGAAACTTCTACTCCTGTTCCCTCTTGTTATTCCATATTGCATTGTCCTAATTCTTTTCGGCACAAGCTGCAATTATTTTGTGTATTTATTATTTGTGTAATTGTCATATGTCATTTGAACCTAGGCACTGCTGTTGAATGAATGAAACTTGGCTAGGAAAGGAAATAAAACTATACAGCAAAGGACCTAGGTCAGGGGTGTGTGAGATAGGAGCCGAGGAAGATGTGTGTCTTAAAAGTAGAAAAGACAAATAAATATTTGTTATTGGCAGTAACCAAATAGAATGGAGGAGTACAGATACAGAGGTAGCAATTAATAGAGGGCATTCTTATTTTGTAGGTTGGCAGCATTATGACCTGGAGCAGCGGTTCTCAACCTGTGGGTCGCAACCTCTTTGGGGGTCAAACGACCCTTTCTTAGGGGTCGCCCGATCCATAGCAGTAGCAAAATTACACTTATGAAGTAGCAATGAAAATAACTTTATGGTTGGGGGGGTCACCACAACATGAGGAACTGTATTAAAGGGTCACGGCATTAGGATGGTTGAGAACCACTGATCTAGAGCATCAGCCTTGGAAAGAAGGAAAGATAACCATTACTTTGAACCCGGTTCAGAGATGCATAGGTGTAGGATAATGATAGATGTAAATGCAAACTTATTATGTACAGGAACAAGAAACTAAGAGTGAATACTTAATGTGATGTAATTTCCCAATCATTATAAGAAACATGTCATCTTCTGAGGAAGAAAGGAACAATTTAATGGAAGCTAGAGAATTGAGGAGCGCTGGTTGTATAGTGGTTATGAGTTGGGCTGCTATCTGAAGGTCCGCAGTTTTAAACCAGCAGCCACTCTGCTGGAGAAAGACAGGACTTTCTACTCCTGGAAAGAGTTACATTTCTGGAAACCCACAGGGGTAGTTCTACCCTGCCCTATTAGTCACTGTGAGTCAGCATCAACTCAATAGCAATGCTTTTTTTGTTTGTTTTTTGAGAGAATTGCAAGCCTTTGGTAAAGTGGCTATGGAAGAATGGCAGAAGTAGTGAACCAAGCACGCTTATTGAATTGCTGCATGGTATTAAAAAAATTTGAGATGGACCATGAAAAACTATAATTTTTAATATTCATTTTTATCTATTCTTTTCATCTATTCCTCTACTATTTTTAGATAATAATTTATGGATCTCTTGCATTTCTATAGATTTTTGAGTGAGGCCCTAACAGTCCTTTATTCCAAACTGTCCTTTTAAGCATGCTTGGTTAGTCAACTGCCTAGGAAGATAGGGATACCGTCTCCCACCAAGGCAAGTAGTCTGGAGGTTTACCTGCAACCTGGATAACAATGTCTCTCAACAGAACAAGAAGTAGGAATGCTTACTGCCCATTAGCTAAGATGCCTAAAATGTAAGATTACTCTCTTATGATATAGCTCCTTATATGTTTTGGCATTCACCTGGGTGGCCCACATCCTCATGCGACTTGGGGACAGGTAACTCTGACATGAATATACTGATACTCATTATGATTGTTGTGTTCTGAATAATAAAATCCAGGGTTTTTGTTGTTGTTGTTTATATTGTCAGAATGTGCTATACAGTGAACCCTCGTTTATCGCGGTTAATCAGTTCTAGACCCTACCGTGATAAATGAAATTCCG